TAAAGAGACCAAATAGGAGACTACATTTTTTACTGTCAATATGTTTAACTTCGCATACTGTAGTTGTATAAAACATGCATTTTCTGGGATATTTAATTATGAACACATCATGAATGAGCCACATAAATTATATTTTTTGTACAACTCCAAGTTAAAAAAAAAAAAAAAGTCAGATTAAGTGCCTCTGAGGCCCTTTCTTCCCAGCTATCAGTTCTCAAAACACATTACTGAAATATTTATCTATGCCTACAGCTATGTGCTAGAGAACCAGATTTAAAATTTTAAAATACATCTACAGTATGTTTTACTTTTCTTAAAGTTTGTGACAGTCCTCGGATATTGTGTTGTGAAATGTAAAAATAGTCACAGGTTCTTTTTTTTTTTTCCCCAGAAATAAAAAACACATCTAGGAGAATATGCATAAACAAGGCAAAATGAAGTTTCATAGCACTTAATGAGGGTTAATATAAGTCAATAACTAATATTGAGGTTTGTAAAAAGGGCTGGATGAGCAGTTACATGTACAAGCAAATGGTCTAGTAATTCCAATGGTATCAGACATTGTTTCTGTAACCAACACTTCTCCACCCTTAAAACCAGTCGATATACATTCAAAATAGGCTGACATTGATATACTTACTAGGTGTAAAAATAGTGCACTATTTTTTCTGCCACAAAGCAAAATTGCATCCTAAGAGCTGGTAAACCTTCTTTTTTCCTTAAATAGAGAGAATGGGCAAAAAACTTGAAAAAAAATTAAATTAAGGCAATTAGACAGGCAAAACAGGACTGCCCATGATGACGTAGCTGAAACTAGTATATACTTCAAACTTATACTAGCTGCTGAACACTGACATGCAGCTTTTGATAGACGTGTATGAATGATATAAACTTCAACATTATGGCTTTATACAAGTGCATAGTTGCAACTGCAATAAGTAACGGTATCTGATTAATAAGCATAAAAAAATAAAGTGGAAAGATTTTTAAAACCCTCTTGCAGTATTACAGTACAATATATATACACAGTATAATGGTCACTTCTTACAGATGCAGTCTATATCACTATGGTGGATCTTCCTCCTGTTCTTCTTGCAGACATGCTGGTGGCATCTTTACGAAAGCTGAAAAGTCAGTTTCTTCCGTTTTAATATTCATTCCTCTCGATCCTTTTATGAAATGTAGTGTATGTGTCTTGCCAAGAAAGCTTTTGTGGAACAGAGTTTAAAAGGTTACCTAACATATCCTTTTACTATTTACCAACCATTCCTTATTTGATCAGTCACTCAGGAGAATACAGGAAAACCCTCAGAGATTAGTAATTTATATTGCAGCAAAAATGTAAACCTCTGATATATATAGCACAATCTCTCAGGAAAATATATATTTTTAATATATTTTGGGATATGTTTCAGTCTTGCTGTAACAGGAAGAAAATTATCACCTTGAACTGTTTCTGCATTCACGGAAAGCAGTTAGCTGAAAAAGAAGCAGGAAGTTTGGTCAGTAAATGCAACGAATGTAGATCTGACAAAAATATACTTCTTCAAAGTCTTCATTTAAGATGGGCTCATCAGCATACTTGGGAGAAATGTCATTCCGCTGGATCAACAGCATCGTTACTTAAGTATAGCACATCCTTACGCATTATGATCCCAAATCAATTAAACCCCCCCTTGTAATATATGAGGGTAAAGTACAATATGCACAATGTAATAGTCACTTCTAAAAGATTAGTAATTTGTAAGCTTTTAATACATAAAGATGCAGTATATTTAATTAACGTAATGCTTATTACTGTAAACACTAAGCCAGTTAAATTCTACAAGAGCTGGTATCTCAGTTAACTGAGTACACAGCTGAGGTACAGCCCTAGTGCTGCTGTCGTTGCCCATTCTTTTATAAGGCTGAGACACACCTTACGTACTATTTAAAAGAATTCTTAGGAATTTATCATTTTGTTTTTTTTCCTGTGTAAACATAACATTGCATCAACATGTAAAATGATTAAACATTGAGAACTATAGAATAGTTATCACTATTTTCAGTACATTCACACTGCATATTTAAGTAAGCCAGGGGACAAATTAGATCAATAAAACGGCCGCATCTTTTCTAAAGCAGTCAAGGAAACCGTATCACAGAAGCTGCAAACCCCATTTGTTTACGTAGTTTTCAAATGCATGGTTAGGTACCCAAAAAGCACAGCACTGCAAAGGAAAGCCAAGTCAAATTCACTTCATAACACAGGTAGAAAAGCAAAATGCAGAACTTCGGTGATTTCATGTCTGCTAGCCATAGACCAGTCAGTTTATGTTAAAAGCTTAAAAATGAAAAGTATTTGTAAATACCAATTCTGTTTCAGCTAAACATCCAACTGCTACAATCTCCCTTTTAGCCTTCAAAAATTATCTGCAGAGGTTAGCAGTATTAGCACTATAGATGAACAACTACTCTGACAACAGGAGATACTTTCTTTTCAGGCAGGCAGACATGAATTTTGAAGAAAGATCTAAAATTAGAAAAATAAAAACACTGACAAAGGCAACAACATCATTTTAATGAAAATGACTCCTCTAAAAATTCATCAACATCATGAACAGAATCTCATTTTTACTGTTTAAAATACTAAAATGAGATCTTGTATATTCTCTGCTTCGAGAAACAAAATCCAACATAGCATGCTGTATTCAAAGGCAAACAAATCCATTCCTCACTGTTTAGATTTACCCCTTATACTTCTTCAGAAATCAAAAACATCGTCATCATCATCATCACCATCAATATCATCAACATCATCAAATGACCAATCCCAGTCCTTAAATGCCAGATCAAGTAATCTGCAATAGGAGGGTTTGATGTTTAATGTGTGTCACGCTTCTATAAAAGACTTCAAAATTCCGTTTGTTATCACTTAACCTTTTTAAATAAAAGTCTGTGTTAAGGTAGGTGGGTTCCTTCCTTTGCCTATCATGAAGATTCAGTTAGTGTTCATATAAGCCAGGAATATTGTATTCATTAGAAATTTATCTCACAAATCATTCAATTCTATAGTACACTTACCATATTGATTTTTCCCCAAAAAATTTCAGCAGAAAAGACCAACATGTACATTTCATAAAACTAGCTACTTTCTGCTTTGCAGCTGTTCTTGTTGTCTGAGGTGCAGTTTTATGCTCTCCTGCTATCCCTTTCCAGACAGTAACACAAGGCTAACAATTTTTCCAATAAAATAAAATAATTTTGATTGCTGAACAGAACATGAAATTAAATAGCATCATCTGAATTTACAAACAAATACAGTAGGATTTTACTATATCCTATACACTATAGGATTACACTATACAGCTATCCTGTAGCTCATTATTTAAAGCTAAGCAATGCCAAAAAAGAGGATATATCAACTTGTTCTCTAGGTGTCGCTGCCTGCGCTCCTTCTATGGTCAATATAGAACAAAGAAAGCAAGAAAGGCAAACCTTGTCAGCACATGAGTCATTTTACCTATTTTAGGCATTTATTTTGGGATAGGATGAATCATTGTCTAGAGGCGTTCATCTCTTTCTGTTGTTATCAAAGATCTTAGACAAATATCTTAAGTACTTACTTCTCAATTGCTACAGCTACAAGAAATGAAACCCAGTCTACTCATCTCTCCAGTGAGCTCAATGGATTTTAAATCAGGATTATATGCCAACCATAGCAGGCAGAGATAGAAACCTTACCCTAACAGAGTGTTCAGTGTGTTTTAATTAAAACGTGCTACAATGTTTAATATAGTTAAACATCCTTTAAACAAACTGGGTTTCAGGCATTTTTGGGGTTTTCGGGTTTTAAAGTTTTTACGCTTTTAATTGTGATATATCTCTGAAAAGGCTCAATATTCATTTATTATAAATGATGGCTATTGTAATTTCTAGAACACTTAAAGAATTTATTAGGGATTAAAATATATGAAAGTTGATTTTTTTCGATTTGGAATTATCCTTTTGGCACAATCTAATTGAATGGATAAGCAGAAATTGTATGGTCTGTATCAAAAACTGGTTTGCCCTTTCTTAAATCATCACGAAGAACAACAGCCATGAAAACCTTGGAGAAACAATTACTGTGTGAAATTCCTAGCAGGGACAGCATTTATAGGACCGTGCAGGTTGGAAGGGACCTTAGGAGGTCTCTAAGCCCAACATCCTGCTCAAAGCAGGGTCAGATACAAGGCCAGCCCAGGCTGCTCAAGGCTTTGTCCTGTCAGGTCTTGAAAGCCTCCAGGGACGGAGCCTGCTCAGCCTCACCAGCCTGCCTCCCTACCCAGCTGTCTGCCTTGGCTTTTTCTTCTATCCAGTTGGAATCTCTCTTGGTTCAACGGAGCCCCTTGTCTCCCGCCATGCAGCACTGAAGAGCCTGGCTCCATCTCCTCGATACTCTCCCCACAGGCAGGGGCAGGCTGCTATGATCCCCCGCTGGAGCTGTCCTTCATCCAGGTTGAACAAGCCCAGCTCCCTCAAGCCTCTGCTCTGACCATCCTGGTGGCCTCCGCTGGACTTTCCCCAGTTTGTCATTGTCTGGCTTGAATTTGAGGGCCCATCTCTTCCCTCAGAGGGGGATAATCTCTTCCCTCAGTCGTCTGGCTGTGCTCCTCTTGATGCAGTCCCAGAGCCTGCCTTGCTGCCAGGGCCCACTGCTGGCTCATCTCCAGCTTGACCCCACCACTCCATCCTGTCCCCAGATTTAACTGGCAACTAGATCCTCATTCTTAATAAAGTTCGTAACAGAAAATTAATTATTCCATACAGTAAGCCCTTGCACAAAAGACTCATAGAGGCACCAGTCAGATATTAATTGGCCACAGCAATTACAGTAATTTATAAGTATGTGGTTTCTAATTAAAAGTGTTTAAATCCATACAAATTTCCACTGGTTTGACAGACCTGCATTAGTAAGGTGACAGGTGAGATGACCTCACAGAACTACACTTTTCCATCTGTTAGGTACATTTGCAAAGCTAACTTGGAAAATTTAATTGCAAGAATAAAATGGTTTACACATAAAAATGTTCATCCTCCTCATTTTTCCACCATTACAAAATATACAGATAGAAAAATAAATCACTAAAGACTGATTCGGACTGGAGGAGGACCACAACTAAAAAGAAGGGTAAGAGTAAATACTGTGTTATGAAAACATTTTGTAAAAAACGTCATGAAGATTGAAAGAAGGGTGTTATAATGAGAAAAATTATTTTATGAGCACCTAAGAACAGCTGTCGAAAAAGAATCAGAATTTATAATATACTCTTTATATGTCAACAATAAGAGACAGAATAAAACCAATGAATTAGATTGTGAACACTACACAGAAGAAAAGCGTTTTACTTGTCCCCCAAGTTGTCATGAATGTTTCCTTGATTCATGCTTCGATCCTGTCATTGATATTTTGGTTAGTTTTGCACAAAGAAACCCTTCAATAATCAGTCCCCAAATAGTAATTAAAAAACTTTTTCCTTCATGGTTATAATCAAAAACCTAATAATTTAAAATGCAAATTATGAGGTCAGACTTTCTTTTTAAGTACGTAAAGTAAATCACAAAAAATCAGACTGTCAGGAAGTTAGGAGGAAAGTGAAATTAAGTTACTTTGAGTTCTTTCATTATGCATTTCCACACATTAAAATACCAGTATTTTTTTAAGATCGAACAATTCGTACTGTAAGGCTGTTTTAGGATAACAGCAGCATCACAGTAAGAGCACGCTTACGCTGCATTCCCCACTGTAACTCTGGCAACTCACCCAACCAGTTTTCAACCAGCCAGCTTAGATGCTGGTGGCAGTGTGGTCACAGAAACAAGGAGAGCAATACTGTCTAGCCACTGCCAAATTATCTCTCTGGGGAAAAATGTTAAGCCGTTGCTGAACTGTCCATTGCTGCTGGAATACTGCAACAAACAAAACAAGTCAGACCAAGCTTTTCACAGGCTGTCAATAACTGGGGACTGATATAACTAAGTATTAGCTAGTACTCTACGTGGTGAAAAAAGCAAACTGAAAAAACCCAGAAATTCTGTACTGTGCAATCACATACGCACTACCTGCAGAATGTTATCACTTCCAGAATACAGTATAGGATTTTGCTCCTTAAAGCTGATCCAGTAATAGATTACTGGGTTTTGTATGGACATTTTCTTCCCAAATCAGAGGAACTTGGTAAGACTGTTCTTTTAGGAACCATGAGACATGAGCATGAGACCTTCTAAGCTGAATGAGGAATTGAAAACAGTTCTCCCACCCTTTGGTAGGTGCTCCAGCTACTTAACCAAATGGTGATCCTCCCATCTTCCTGCTCTCTTGCAAAAAGCACAAGTGATGCTCAGACAGGTGCCTACCACTGCAGTAACAGGCTCCACACTGTGGAACCTGCATGGGCAGAGACGCAAAAGTGAGATTCATCTGAACTAGATTTTCACTAGATGTCCAAAAGCATGCTGTATGCTCCTTTTCTACACTAGGAGGACATGAATCCTGAAAACTACTCTTCCTAAATATCAACTGTAAATGGAGTCAGAATAGATACATACATTTGGTCAGATGAAACACACTCTAACATACAAATCTGCAATCAGGTGTCTAACCTTAGAGCAGGTCAGGAATTCAAACACATACCTGAAAACCAAGCAATAAGAAACAAAAGACATGTAGTCTTTTGCTATGTGTAAGGCCTTCAGGCTGCTTTTCGAAGGCACCTAATTCTCTCCAAGGTTCATTAGAACCACAACCACGTAACTTCATTGCTCAACTTCAAATCAGGTACATTAGTGGTCATCTTGAAAATTGTTAAACCTTTTTTTCTTTTTTCTTTTCTTTTTTTAAATCTTCACACCCCTCTCACTGACCCTTTGCCTAGTTAAACCCCATTTTCCCTACCAGCTGTCAGTTCACAGGAACTATTAGGCTACAGACGATGTTACAAGTTCTGCCTATTACACGTAAGAGCAATAGGATACGTTATCAGTACGGTAGGCTTAACTAACAGGTTATGCAAGGTCCTTTAAACAAGGGAACAAACATAATGGCTCTTCTTATAACTTAACTGAGGTTTATAGAAGGTGACATGCCAGATTGTATGTCAGTAGTCAACAACACTTGTGGTCAACTGTCCTTGTCAACATATACGACATTAATCGTAGTAAAATGTTTAAAACAATAAACTAAATAGCAGCTCTTGTATCACCTTGGTTTGTTTGGAGGAAGCTGTCGACTTGGTCGTCTGATGGACTGGTTTGGCTGTACCTTCATGGAAGTTCTGGGAGAAGACCGAGCAAAGGGGTCTGGTGCTGGAGGCTTCTTGGGTATTTTTTTCACCAGTCGGCTCACCCATTTTTGCTGTTCTTCCGTAGAGTTAGCTAACAGTAGTAGATTCTTTGCCGTTGAAATATCATAGTACACTGTAATAAGAATTTTTAAAATAAAAATGAATATTGTTATTACTCTAAACATGTCCCCACATCAAAAATTAGTTGTCAGATTACCATACTCTCACAATCAACACAAAGAGAAATCAGCAGAGAAATCAAAAGCAAAGTGAACCAGATTTTGCCAAACTTTATGTTTCCTGGTTGCTGACAGTGCCTCCTCCTTCCATTTAGAATGTAACAACTTAGTACTATGGAAGATACACGCTCACATGGAAAAAACCAAGGAAGGGGTGCCTGAGCCCAGGAAATTATGTAACCTGAATCACAAGGAGTAAACTTCACTGAATATAATCTATTTCGTAACACACACTAACACTATTGTTTCATATAGCAATCCAGCACAACGCACAGTGTGAGCAGTCTTACAACTACCATGCTTTACTGCATGATGCTGACAATACAGCAGGTATGTATGTATATTGGCCACATGCCATTAATTCAACAGCAGTGAGCTGATGCTCATGTAGACACCCTTAGAAAGGTTCTGACGGCTAAGTACTAATAAAAGAAAAACCTACCTGTTTATGTTTAGTTGGTGTCAGACCACTACTAGAATCCTCTGATCTATTAGAATGCCCTGTGACTCCAGCGACTACATGCATATTCAAATACCTCCTATTTACCTTTGCAAGGTGCTATAATCTCTTCTTTTTTATCCATGTGATCTTTGTGACATTTGATATGGCAACGGCGACATTCTAGAGCAGGAGGAGGTTTAAACATATGCCACAGTGGCTTCATACAAGCTTCACAATTGGTTGGAAAGTGATAAAGAGTAGGTATAAACTCATGTCCTTTGTGACAAATGTAATTTGACTTCTCTCCCATGGGCTCCACGGGAAATTCCTGTTCCTTTTTGCTCTCTCCTTCATTAGCATATAGAATCTAAAATCAAAGCAAAATAATCTCAGTACTCCTATATGACAAAGAGAAATTCAGAGTAATTAAGTAGAAAGATTGAGGAAATACAATGGAGTGGATTTTTTTCAAGTTCTTTTTTTAGTGAATATTCCATCAGCCAAAATTATGAAAATATCTTTGACAATGTGTGAAATACCACCTTTGTTACACTAGAAACATTAATTTATTACTGAATACCTGGAATATCCTAGGAATTTCCTTGGAGTCTGCTCTGTACACATCAGTCTGAGTGACTGGTCGCACATGGAAGAGTTTGCTATAGGAAATTATTTCAATAAGGACAAAAATTAATGTTACCAAAATGATACATTTAAATTGACAGATTAAGTTAGGATACAATATACCACATTAAGACTTAGAGCCATTAAAGATTTGTCAGTACAAATTACTAATCACTTGATTGAAGTCCTATCTTTCAACCCTGCACATGAACTTCCAAAAACCCTAAATAAAAAGAAGTCACAAGTATCCAGCTATATTTGCAAAAAAAAATGACAGCACTGAAAAACCAACATCACGTGACTTTAACGATTGCTGGTAGCTTTCTAACACAATCCTCTCCCCACGCTCCAACCTCCGAATATCCACATTTTGTATTTATTAAGAAAACAAATTAATTAACTATACAACCCACCCGTAAGGACATGTTGTAAGTGAAAATGTACAAACACTGAAAATTATACCCTCTCCGCTACAGTTTTCTTAATGTTTTTGCTACAACGTGTATGTGAGGTAGGTCTAGCTGACCTAGTGGAAGCAGTTAAGTTACATCAGAGCTCAACAGAGCTACCTGTATCAGACTGAGCATCACACTACTGCGACACCACTGCCTACAACAGATACTCAAGCTCCCAGCTCTGTAGTTCAAATTGCAAAAGTATGCCCCATTTGACATTGAGCTCCCAGACTGGACTTCAAAAGCCCTTTTGTCAAAGTCTTTCCAACAAAGTTCACCTACAAATCAGAAGAAGGAATCTCACGTGACAATACTTACTCTATATCTAATACCATATAGGGATTAGATTGTTCTTTATCTTGTTCGCTGTCATAGAACAGGATCTTCTTACTGCTTACAATTACATACTGTTAAGAGACAGAAAAGGATGAAATATACATTTTAAACAAGTTCTTCACAGATGTCAAAGATGTCACAGCAATTACCACAGATGTCACAGCAATATTTTTCTACAATTTTATTAAATGGTAGCTAAATGGACAATAGTAATACTGTATTCTAAGCCCATGATTTGCCAATAAATTCATTGCACAACAATCAAAATTCAGATTACCTGATAAATCAATTTATGTTATCAGTTTAATTGATATTTAAACAGATTTAAGTACCTATGAAGAGATAAAAATGGAAGGCTGGAAAAAAGTAAGATAAAAGCTTTTCATTTCTATTTTATTTGGATTGGTAGTGAGAGTAACTGTCATCTTATGATGCCTATTTTACATGTGCAGTTCACAACTAACAGGGATTATATTCACAAAGATCATTGTTACACTTACTAGCATTGCTAGCAATTTTCATAAAAAAGCTAGAAGACCACCTATTTCCAGAATTTTGTCCAGAATGAACAGTTTCACTGATCAGTAAGTGAACTGGTATGAAACAGTATAGTTACTCTCTGGGCTACTGAAAAGCAGTAAACTAGTGAAGGCTGCCTTGAGTAACTGTTAATTTTATCTCCTAAATATTTTGTTAAGGGCATCTGCTTCCAGACTCTGCTGAATTCCAGCTACGTAATACTGCTGGGAATGCTTATGGCTGAACGTAGAAGATTTGAAGATCATGAATGGCCGTTCTCACCTCTGGCTGGACAAAGAAGTATCTTAACCTATTACAATTGTCTTAATCTGCTCCTCTCAGACATAACTATACCAGCTAACATATTCTACACATTTAAATAATGACAGAACATATATCAAAGAAAAACTGAAGTGTTGAAAACCTGCAGTAAGTTTAAAATCCAGACTACACATGAAACAAGATCATAAATCTGGTTTTCTTACCTTTTTAACCCATCCAAATTTTTTAGTGTTGTTTCTAACAGGCAGTGATAGCCACCCTTCCAATCTTGATTCTGAAAAAAAGATATATGTTAAAGAACATAAATATTCACAAAACATTATTTTTGAGACTACTGTGCATTTTAAAATCGTTATTGAAGATCAATAATAAAGCAACAGAACAAACATGAGAACAGGAACTATTTAAAACGACAAGCAAAGTTTATCACAGTAAGTGTTCAGGAATAAATTAAATCACGTATTCCTGAATAGAGCCAATAACCAACAGTGCAATCACAAAAAAGTAGTAGGCACGAGGAAGAAGGGGAAGAGCAAACTTGCAATTATAGCACACACATTCCCTTTAGTAATTTTTTCAAGACTTAAAATCCTTATGTCTATCAACCTTTACTTTTTAAACAGCATCTGAAGATATTAGTGCAGACCATACAACATCCGGTTCAAGACAAAAAAAGGCAAAGTACCACCACCAATAACCTATATCCTCTATACACCGGGTAAAATTTCAGAAGTTTAGTATTCTAATTCATATTTTTTGCTGTGTCAATTTTTCTTTTTTCTAATTCTGCCTAATCTCCTAAACTTTCTAATCCAAAATAAGTCATTTTTGGCTAATCCTTAGGCCTTGCCTAAATTCAACTGCCCTTTCACTCACTTGCAATATTTCATATTACACAGGCACGTTAGTCAGATTGGATTTATCAACAGTATTAACAGCTCAGCTGTTGTCTGATACACACATTTCAGTAGTAACCAAAAGCTCACCAGGATCACATTTTCCTAGTGCTTGGTAGAATCATAATATCGCATAACTTTTGACCCTATTTTTATAGCCGCACTTAATACAAGCATTTCTTTCCCCTATGTTTTATTAGGAGGAACTACTCAATTGCAATAGTATTTTCCTGATGAGTTTTCCACCCTAGCAGATAACCTCAACTGCTGCTGAGGAACCTCCAAGTCAAAAATACTGAAGCCTTAAGTATTAACAAACACAAAACCACGAAAGGAGCATAAACATGCTCCAAAATTGCAAAAGCTGTTTTCTTTCTCATCAGAGGGCATTTGCAGGCTCCTGCCCATGTTTAACATAGCGTAACAAATAGTTATTAGATATTCATAGAATTCTCATTTGTCTAGAGAGACTTGAAGCAAGATTATTCAGGTATGTGCTGCCTTCCAAGTTTATTGCTCTATAAGCATTGCTATGGGTGACATGTTTTAATGTACATACCAAGTATACGAAGTAGTTCTATAATGTATATTTTGCCTCATACCTGGCACTTTAAATTATTCCTTTCAACTACACCTGATACAAAGGGTAGCAAGCGTAATGCTGATGCAAAAAAATCCTTCCCCACATCCAGGAAGCATGTGTAGTTTGTTAATGGCGTGAAAAAAAAATGCATTAATATTTCTCCTATTTTTTTCTGTAATCTCTAATATTATCACATGAAATTGGACAAAATGAGAGTTTCTGGTTACACTTCTTCATTTCTGGTGTCCATTCTATACTAAGAGATCAGAGAAAGGCCAGAATATTTCACAATTTTCACAACAGATGCTTATAAGCACTAGGAGGGCAAAAACCCAACAAAACACAACCATCATACCTCAAATCTGTTGTAATTATGTCAGAAAAAAGTCCTAGTTTAGATATGATTTTTACTTCAGAACAAAACAAAACCATGCAGATATGCCAACAACAGCTAACAAGGAAAAAATTATGTATGTACTTAACAATTCTTTTATTAGAAGCCTCATAGCAAAACCCAGAGAATGAGGAAAATAGAAGAAATGCATTATTCTTTACTCTAGTTTGAAGAAGTAATGTCAATATTCAAAAAAAAGTTTTGCCTTCAGTGGAAAGGTATTCACACTTTAAAGGAACCTCAAATGAAATACAGAAATTTGAATGTAATTAAAAAACCCACCTCCGACATTAACACTAAACAGAAGTTTTGTTCAACACAGTGTATGTGTAGTCATATAAAATGAATATAGAATTAGTAAAACAAAGCTCTGTTTTACCAGAGCCATATCATTTCATTATACGCTTTATGTATCTGGAAAAAGGAATAAATTTTGCTTGCCTTACGGTATGAGAATCAAATGTAAGATTCAAAATAAGGCAAAACAATGTAATACTCGGAAGACTGAATTTCTATGAGCAAGTAATGTACATTTAGATGGTGAGGAGTTAGATGTCTCCACACTTCACTTAAACACAAAGATTTGACTTTTTGGTATCCAGTATCTTAGGATCATACAGACAGCTGCCGATACTGGATAGGGGCTACCTTGAAAACAAGGCGATAAGACTCATTTATTCAATACTTTAATAAAAATGGTGATTTTATAAATGGCAGCAAGCATCTGTAAACATTTAGACAAAACAGGCCAGTTATTTGTTCATGCAAACTTTTTCAAGTCTTTGATGGCAATGATTACTGCCACTGCAGTATGTTTACTGCCAGATTTGGTTTTTGGGGTTTTTTTTAATAATTTATTAATAGTGTTAGTTTTGAAACAGAGAAAAGGACACAGTAAGAACAAAACCAAACAGCTCTCAGGGATGTCACCTGTGCTATCAACTTCTGTAGGGCTGTGGGAACAAGATAAAGGTTCTTCCTCTGAGTCAGAATCAGAATCGAGAAGCATGCGAGAACTGGAAGGCTTAGTGGCAATACTGACAGAGGTAGAAGAGTGCTGGTAGGTAAAAGACATGGACTCCATAGTGTGGGATTGAGTGATATGGACTAAACATAAAGCATAAAGGAGGAAAAAGGTAGAAAAGAAGTCAAAATAGAATCTCTAAGAGTATTAGTTTTACATTTCATCACATAACACAGTAATTGCAAAGTAACCACCACAATAAAGTGGAAAAAAAGTATTTAGTTTTAATGGGGTACAATAGAATTTTTTAAAGAAATTTCTTTAAATAAATGTAAGATGAAGTATGATTACAGACAGATTTATATAGTAGTGGATAGTGATCATTATCAAAGCATTAGTAAGATGGTAGAAACACCTGAAGATGAAAAGCCACAGAATCATCAGAGCGTTAATTTAATACTTCAGCTTCTACGGTAAAACACTGATATAAAACCAATTAATGCAGAAATACTAATAAAATTAACATACCAGGGAATCCATCATCTGCCTCAGCATCTCCAGGTCCACTGCCTATGCTACTGTTGTCTAGACCAATGTGTAATGACTGTAGCTGTGAACGAAGCTGTTCAATGTCACTGTCTTTGCTGTCCAGAGTCATCTGGAGTTCAATCCGTATCTGACTCTCTTCTGCTATTTGCTGCAAGGATAAATTACAAAATTTCCTATTATCACAATACTCAGTTACTCAGAGAAAACGTAAGCAGAAAACTACACAGACTTTGCAGCCAATCTCAATATATATACTGCATATTCCTTTTGGTCATGGGAAATTCAGGAATAAAGACTGTACACGCTACCTTAAAGCCTGTATCAATTCAAATAAGAATTACAGAAAATGCTATCAATGCTTGTATTTGCAAAAGGATCTTACCGCCTGCATTTCATTGATTTCCTTCTGATATTTGATCATCATTTGGGTTAACTTTTCTCGTTCAGACTTCAGTTCCATATGCAGTTTCCTATTTTCCTTTTCCTTCCGCCGTACATCAGTGTCAGCTCCACGTTTGACTGGACCCTTCCGATTCATGATCTCAGCCAATTTATTCACAGCCTTCCCATGGGGAAGAAAAAAATTGACAAAAAACACACCAAATACATAGAGTTATATCATGAAGAAATAAAGTCTTCTCTCCTATCCACGACCAGACACTTTTAATCTAACTGTGAACTAAGACCGCTGCATATCCGGTACTATAAAGTTGCTTTAATTCAATGTACTATTGAAAATCGAAAAGAAGGTAATGATGCCATTTTCACTTTAAGCAAGCATTTGCTTTGAAGACTTCTACTCATTTAAATATTCTCTTCCATTTCCATTAGCTAGCCCCAAAATGTATCTTTGGATTAAAATGCCACTTGTTCTAAAAAACAATCCAGATTAAAATCAGAAGTATACTCTTTTATGGAACTTATAGAGGAATATAAATCAAGATGGAAACCAGTAAAATATGAATTCATTTGACTGAAATGAAGATTTTTGCTGGTGGACTGCATCTGGATTAGGAGTTCCTGCATCATGAGGATGCAGTTTCACTACACTGAAAGTGTACTTACTAGAAGCAAAAAAAAAGATCAATGTATTTTGTTTCAGGGGCAAAAAAGAATAAAGTATTAATGGCATATATAGATAGTTTACCATGGAAAGTTTTCTATTAAAAATTATTTGATTCACGAACACTATCTCTTCATTCATTTAGATACATTTGCTTACCTGGGTTTTCAATGTTCTTTCATTCAACAACTGTTTCTCAAATTGTGCTTTAATATTTCCTACATTTGCTTCTTCTTCTTTTAGCTTTGTAATTTCTGTAGCAAGGTAATTAAAAAAAAAAAATTCCATGAAAGCTCATTACAAAAGAAAATAGTACTATTAAAGAACAAAACTGGTATCAAATTAAATTACATTTGATTCAGAGAATACATACGTTCTTGTACTTCCTTCAGTTTATTGTTTAGTTCTTCTTTCTCATTAGCAAGATTAGCCACATCACTTGTTAGTGTCCTATTTGCTTCCTCCAACTGCAAAATAAAAAATACATGTGACTATGTAACAAAACACATTTGGCATATGAAAGCATTACAAGACAGAAGGAAATGCTTCAGACTGAAACCCGGATAAGGATAAGAGGACTAGCTGTAAGAGAGGCAGCGGCACAGAAGAAAGAATGATCAGAGATATGCATGGAAGAAACATGGTAAGAGATTTATTTCATTCACAGAAAATAAATATTTTTAAAATGTCAGATATGCTTGTGTATCACTTACCTCTAAGTGTGCTAAATAAAATGGGTAACTCAAACTGCAAATAAAACTCGATCCCATGTAAACCTCTACCAAAATCATGATCCATATTACTCACAGAGGCTATGGTGGCATCTTTCTCAGTAAGTTCCTGTTTATGCCTAGCCATCATCTCTTTAATCTCCAGCTCTTTCATAATCTTCTCTTTTTCCAAATCAGAGTACTGTTCTTCAGCAATGGAACGTGCAAGTTGTTCCGAATCTGCTTTTGTCAAAGTAATCTCTAGTTGAGCAGCCAAGGAATCTCTGCAAATTATTGATACATACTATTAACTCTATTAACTTAAAAAATGGGAGGTTATGGCTGGGGTGGGGGAGGTGAAAAAAAAAAGAATAAAACAACAAAATGCCTTCCTAATCTTTTATATATTAGTAGTACAACTAGTAAAATCTACCTCTCATCCTGTAACTCTTGTATCTTTTGCTGCATTTCTTTACAAAGTTTGGTCTTTTCCTCACATTCTTCTTTAAGTTCTCGAACTTGCGTCTTGTACAGAGTCTAGAATTTAAAGTTGGATAGAAAAGGATGTGACTTGCACATTCTAGCTTGAAGGTACACAAAAAATGATGCAATATGACACTGAATGCAATTGTTTAATCACACATTCAATTAGAGTACAATTGCACAATGCCTTCCCTAAATTTAACTAAACGTCATCATCATTCCCAAGTGTGTTTTGGTTATTTTACTTATTTGTTGTTTGGGTGGGGTTTTTTTAACTTGTGTATTTGTGAATGGATAGATGTATGATATACATTTTATATGTTTGTAAACATACTGTTAAAGAGACTCTCAATGTGAATACCACTATTTGATAGAAAATCAGAAGTTATCAGAAACAAGGAAAATCAGTAATTTATTTTTTTCTACTATTTTGGACTTTTGTCAGAGGGAGGTAGGTAGATAGAATTTAGATTTTAACCATACAAATTCATTAAAACAACATGACAGTTAAAGAGCAAAAGGAAGTACAGGAGGAAGGGAAAAAACAGATTAGAAAAGCATTTGAAATTCAAATTTTTGTGAAATCGTTACAAATCTAGAGCTCTAGAGGAAATGAAAGAGAAATTATATTGCTCTGTACACTCAAATGACTGTATACAGGTAAAGTGACAGACAACTGCAAGCGCATTTAGTGCAGGGATTTCAACACAGACTGTCTCTGGCCTATCCACAGCAGGCAACTGACCTCAACTCTCCCTTTCTCTCCTTTAATGTGTGCAAATTTTTGATCTACTAAAACTTCCGACAGTCCTTCTCCTCACTGACCTAAAAACCACAGTAAAATCTTGTAAGTTGCCTTTAATTCTGAAACCTGCAGTACGACCGGCTGTGCACTGTTAATATAAATTAACCTCTATATGCTAGTGATGATTTTTAAGTACAGTAACTATTTATGCTGTTGTACCTTATCACAATAAAGCAAAAACTCCCAACAGATCTTGTATTGGGTTTGCGTGGCAAGGTTTTGGTAGCAGGGGGGCTACAGGGGAGGCTTCTGTGAGAAGATGCCCTGTGTCCGACAGAGCCAATACCAGCCGGCTCCAAGACGGACCCGCCGCTGGCCAAGGCCGAGCCCCTCAGCGAT